CTCCTGCTTCTCCTCCTCCCTCCTCCTTCGTCCTTCCTCCCTCCTCCCTCCTCCCTCGGTGAAACGTAAGACTCGAGGAAGCCGGAATTCAGGTTTGCCAGCGTCATTTTGCGAGCGCGTCTTGGATTTTGATGGTCTGGTTTTCGTGGGATGTTTGCGGCGGGAGTTCGCGTCAAGTTTCAGATTTGGTGTCGTCATTTTCATGATGGCCCCGTCAGGCCAATCCGAGTCCCCCGTACCCGAGTCTTACGTCTCCCCGACTTCTGCCTCTGCTATTTTCATGCTCTGGGGGCCCCTACCGGGTCTGGGAGGCGTCAAAAGCCGACTCAGAATCGGGCTCCCGGGTTCCCAGTTCCAGGTTCTGGGCCGATTGTGGTGGGCGGTTGGATTCACGGGTTCTTCGTTCTTTTTTCAGGGGTTTTTGGCATTGAATAAGGGCGGCTGGGTTGCAAGTTCCATGGTTCCCGGCAGTGAAGTTTGGCTGGGTGCCTGGGTTCCGGGTTCGGTTGGCGGCTGGGTTCCCAGGCTTTCCAGTTCCCGATTCCAGGGTCTCCAGCAGTGGAAAGTTTGTGAGTTTCTGGCTTCCCAGTTCTCGTTTCTGCATTCCTGGCAGCGTAAGGTTTGGGGGTTCAGGATGTCTTTGGTTGTGACCAAGCGACTGTATCTTTGATCGAGTGTCCAGGATCAGAAAGCTGCGAGCAGAGTTGACCAGAGGGGTTGGAATCGCTTCCAAGCGCGCTCCAGGCCGGAAAGACAACCACAAATCGCCCCCAACACAGCCCCCCAAGAGGCCCCAGAGCGCTCAAAGACCTCCACGAGGCCTCGCAGAGCATTCCAGAGGAAGCCCCCGAGAGGCCCAAATCAGCCAATTACCGATAGAGAACGTGTACTTTCAGCATCTATTCTTCTTCGTCCTCTGGGGTGTCGAAGACGGCCACAGGACGGCCCAAGAGAGCCCCAAGATGGCCCCAGGAGAGGTTCCGTAGCCATTTTGGATCAAGTCTTCACGTAGACGAATCGGTCCAACCAGCCAACCTATACATTCCGTTCCTTGTTCCCCGGGGGGGGTCCTTCCGAGCGCTCTCGGCGTCCTGTCGAGTCTGAGCGTGGGGCAGCCAGACATCGACCTGAGCATTGATCAGGAGCCAGTGCCCAAGGCACCTTGGCGCAGAATCATGGCAGTTATCGTGGCCATGTTCACGGTGTTTGTTGGCGCAGTTCTTGGTGTGGGCATGACGATCGTGATTATGAGTTTGGACTGACTCTGGCTCGTACACCGCTTGCTGGAAGCCCATGCTCGAGATCAGTGAGTACGGTTTCCCGTTCTTGCAGCAGCACGTGGCCACCTTCCTCCAGAATGCTATGGATTCCATGCTCGCAATGAGTTCGTCGCCACCGATGGACCGCGTGTCGCTGCGCCCACGAGGTCGCCCGCGTGATGTCGACTATCGTGACACAGGCGCAACAAGACGAGGTGAAGTTCTTCGACAACAAACTAGACGTCGCTCTCGCCATCATCGGTACGCTTCTGCTCGGGTACGGGCTGCCCATCGAAGAGATCGTGCTGGACTCCATCGGCGAAACCAGCGCGGTACACGATGCAGGGATTGCTGTGTGGAAGAGCAAGCAATTGCACTCAAGGATTAGGCCGACCTCTGTGGTGCAGAGGCTTTTCCCTGATGAGACCTTGACTATCAACGATGGCGTCGAGATCCTTGGCAAGCACTTCCAAGCGCTCGTCCGTGTGATGCCGCACTCGGAGTTTCCATCTGGCTCATCTTGCATGTGCCGGCAATCGATGAGTACATCATTGACTTGTTGTCAGCATTGTCACTGCACTCCATGGGCGCGCCAGTGACGTTCGACGCGGAGGTCACCCACGTCGTCTTACTAAATTCATCGATGGCAAGCGTTCCCCTGACTGGCACTGCCAACCCGGCAGCTGAGGGCTATACCTCGGGGACCTTCAATGAGCGCTGCGGCGAATCTCGGCTCGAGGGCGGCATGCACTTCAATGCCTTTGTGCCAGCGGGCCGCGAGCTCTGCTCCGGCATCAGCGCGAAGGCCGCGCAGACCGAAGCTGCTCACGCCTCTGCCTGCGGCAGGCAGTGCTACGCTTCGCTCCGTCGTCGCCTCGACGCCGCCATGCGCAGCGGACTGCTGTGCAGACAGCGCCCCGTGCACCCAGGCCGAACAGGCCGCGTGCGCGTCGGACTGCAACGGCGCCTGGAGCCTCCCGTGGTTCGACGTGGACGTGCGCGTGAAGGCCTTCGGTCTGCCTGACCGTGAGATTGCCACCAGCACAGCCGCGCCATTTTCCCAGACCGGCCGCAACCACCTCGTAGTAGTAGGCCTCTTCGGCGCAGTTGTGCCCGCCATCCAACGTCACGAGACTATATTTCAGCTCCGGTTCACGAACACGATTGACAATTTGGTTTGGAATTCGATTGCAGCAAATTCGGAGGCAGTCTTGCCACTGAATTTCGGCCAAAGCAGAGTCTCCGCACAGCCGACCATCCGCTCTGGAGTCAGCACTTTGACGCAGGGGTTGTAACAAGCGTGCACGCCGTAGCTGCCGCGCCTCTGCTGATGCCACAGTCCATCGAGGATTTCCAGCAAAGCCTGGATTTCTTGGTCTTGTCTCACTAGGTCGGGATCGTTGACAGTTTGGCGGGAGCATGCGGCCACGTTGCTGACGCTCAGGTGTTCGACCGTGGCTGCATCTCGACGTGGTATGGGTCTGATCCTAAACCTTCCCGCCTTGGCCAGACCATTGCGTACGAGCTCATATCCCACAAAACGCGCGATAGCTGGAATTCTCTCGGCACCGACGGCTGCGATGCTGGTGAGCACTTCTGCTTCAGCTTCTCTGACACGCGTGTCTGGGACCCCGAGAGCGGACCTTGCGCCAGCAAGTTTGTACAATAAAGGCGTTGTTCTACAGTTGCGCCACTTCATTTATAAAGTTATTGTTTTGTATCTATGTATTTCCCTTGCTTTGATGATGACTAGTGCTTCGTCAGCGAACTGCTGCATTTGCGATGCAAAAAAAGAGAAGATGGCCCCAGGAGAGGTCCACTACACCGCCAGGAGGCTCCAGGAGACCTCCCCGAAACGCCAGCCACCCCCACGAGGCCCCAAAGAGGCTCCCTCGAGGCCCCCAAATGCCCAAACCCGACCGCGAAGACCCCCACGAGGCCTCTCATAGCACTCCGGAGGAAGCTCCCGAGAGGCCCAAATCGGCCAATTCCAAATTCAGGAAAAGGAGATGTGCATTTTCAGCATCTACGCGACTTCGGCCACCACGGCGGGGAAGTCGGCCCCAGAGACCCCCAAGACCGGGCCACGGAGCGCTGCACTGGGTGGGGGAACCGCATGCGGACACCGCCACTGAGGCCTTCGGTGGAGCTCCCTATGGGGCCACGAAGCGCTGTACTGGGTGGGGGATCCGCATGCGAACACCGACGCTGGGGCCATTCGGGGGCTACCTGTGGGGCCACGCACGAAACGCTGTACTGGGCGGGGGAACCGCATGAGGACACCGCCACTGAGGCATTCGGTGGAGCTCCCAGTGGGGCCACGAAGCGCTGTATTTGATGGGGGATACGCACGCGGACACCGACACTGAGGCCTTTGGTGGAGATCTTTAGGTGGCCACGAAACGCTGTACTGGGTGGGGGGACCGCATGCGGACATCGCCACTGAGGGCTTCGGTGGAGCTCCTCATGGGGCCACGAAGCGCTGTACTGGGTGGGGGATCCTAATGCGGACGCCGCCACTGAGGCCTTCGGTGCAGCTACTGGGTGGGAACTGCATGCGGACACCGCCAGTGAGGCTTTCGGTGGAGCTCCCTGATGGGGCCACAAAGCGCTGTACTGTGTGGGGGAACTGCACGCGGACACCGCCACTTAGGCCTCCGGAGGAGCTTCCTGTGGGGCCAAGAAACGCTGTACTGGGTGAGGGAGCCGCATGCGGACACCGCCATTGACCGCTGAGGCCTTGGGTGGAGCTCCCTGTGGGGCCACGACGCGTGTGAGCGGTGTGCCGAAATTGTGTGCATGTGGAGAGCTGGGGCACGGACGGGAGGAGGGGGAGGAGGGAGGATGGAACACGGGGCGCTGTCTACTCAAAACGAGGACCCAACACAACAGGATGGTTGGGATAAACTACACGTAGTTTACGCTCTATCGTCTCCGCATGGGCCGTGCGTCGTCCATTTTGCAAACTGCATGGCAGGAATGGGACGGGGCGCACGTCCGGCGCGAACGGCCGAACTGTCGCTCTCGATTCGGCGCCGCGCTCGTTTTTTCCAGCGAGCTTTGAGCTCCCGGTCGGGCGCCCGCGCGCAAGTTTTCGCACGCATTTTCTTCGACGCGCGAGCAGACGCCTTCTCCTCCTCCTCCTCCTCCTCCTCCTCCTCCTCCTCCTCCTCCTCCTCCTCCTCCTCCGTGTCGCTCTCGCGTCGGCGCCGTGCAGATTTCACTTGGAGGTGACGTAACCCGCCCCGCCCCGCGCGGCACACGCCTGTCACGCTCGCCACTTTCTGCCGGGGCCTGCGCGAGTTGGCAACGTGTCGCCCTTTGCCCAAGCTCCGTGCACCACGGGCCCCGGAGGGGCGTTGCAGCTCGGGCGCGGCGCATGGCTCGCTCGCCGAAGCGCATGGCGTCGACAGCGGCAAGCGTCGGAGGAGGAAAAGGTACCCATACATCTATCCTTTCCTCGCTTCCCCCTTTTTGGGCATCCTGGGCCTCTGTCGTCGCCACCGCTGGATTCGCCTCGAAATTCTGGTCAGAACGCACCCCGGGCGAGGTCCGGGGAGTAGCGATATCGGTACCTGTTGGTTTCCCCAAAGCGGGGCCGCGCGAGAGCGGGCGAAATGCCGACTTCGCCCAAACGCCGCGCAGCTTGTGAGTGAAAGTGGCAATGCTGTGTCAGCGCAGTGCACGTTTCGTATCCGCCGCGCCAACTCTTGCGTGGCCCGCGTCGTGTTCTCTTCGCCACGTCGTGGGAAGTGGGACCGCGCGCGAGTTCCTTCTGATTGTGATGTGGGAACGCGTTCCAATCCCAATGTTAAGTTGTGCCCCAACTGGTGATTCTGTTACGGGGGAGAGAGTGGGAGTAGGCGGTGCCCTCTGACTCGCTCGGCCTGGCGAAATTGAACTTCGCCTCACTCCTCCTCTCCTTTCGAGGTGGCTTCTCGCTCTCGTGTTGGGTCGCCCCCATTCGGCTCCAGAGTCAGTGTTACACCGCGACCGTAAACGCTCAGACGCCATCTACCCACATCTGACTCCATTCAGTTTCGCACGTTCTGACGCCACTGAGGATAAGGAAGAGAAGGATGAGGAAGAGGTTGAGGAGCAGGGGGTGCTCAGGATGAATTCTGGAGCTTTGGAGCCGACAGCGAAAGCGAGAAGGAGGAGGAGGACAAGGAGGCGGAGGAGGAGGAGGAGGATCAGGAGGAGGAGGAGGAGGAAGAAATATCAGTAAGAGGAGGAGGAAGAGGAGGAGGAGGAGGAGGAGGAGGAAGAGGGAGATTTTCTCCCCGTCCTCCCCCTGCCCCCCCCCTCCTCCCCCCTCCTCCCCCCTCCTCCGCCCCCTCCCCCTCTTCCTCCCCATCCTCCTCCTCCTCCTCCTCCTCCCCTCCTCCTCCTCCCTCCTCCTTCCTCCTCCTCCTCCTCCTCCTCCTCCTCCTCCCCCTCCTCCTCCTGCAGGCCGCCGCCAGCGGCTTTCGCCGGCGACGGCCGCGGCGAGCGCAGCGCCCTGCACGAGGCGGCCGAGCACGGGCACGCCGCGGTGGCGAGGCTGCTGCTGGACCGCTGCCGCGGCTTCGCCTCGGGGGGGGGGAGGGAGGAGGGGAGGCGAGGGGAAGAGGTGGAGAGAGAGGAAGAGGAGGAGGGTGAGGAGTGCGAGGAGGGTGAGGAGGAGGAGGAGGAGGAGGGAGGAGGGTGAGGAGGAGGAGGAGGGAGGAGGAGGAAGGAAACGGGTGAGGAGGATGAGGAGGAGGAGGAGGAGTATGAGGATGAGGATGAGGAGGAGGATGAGGAGGAGGAGGAGGGTGAGGAGGGTGAGGAGGAGGAGGAATAGGAGTGAGGAGGTGAGGAGGAGGAGGAGGAGGAGTAGAGGATGAGGATGAGGAGGAAGGAGGAGGAGGAGGAGGAGGAGGGAGGAACAGGGTGAGGAGGAGGAGGAGGAGGAGGAGGAGGAGGAGGAGGAGGAGGAGGAGGAGAGGACAGCCCTGGCACGAGGACAGCACTAGCACGAGGAGGGGAAGGGGCGCCGAGGAGGCGCGCCGAGGAGGAGCGGCGAGGCCAAGGAGGAGGAACGCCGAGGAGGAGCGCCGAGGAGGAGCGGCGGGAGAGGGTGGCGGAGGCGGCGGCCGGGAGCGGCGGCGGGGCGGCACCTTCGACGGCGGTGGGCCCCTGCCCCGGGGCGGGCGGACCGGGGGTGAAGGGAGGAGCGGCGCCCGGCCCGCGGCGGCGGGCGCGGGCGCGCGCGGCGCGGCCCGCGCGCGCGCCCGCCCCGGGACCCTCCTCGGACCCGGGCCCTGGGGCACGAGGAGGAGGAGAAGGAGGAGAGGAGGAGGAGTAGGACGAGGAGGAGGGTGAGGAGGAGGAGGAGGAGGAGGAGGAGGAGGAGGAGGAGGAGGAGGAGGAAGAGGAGTTGGAGGAGGAGGAGGAGGAGGAGGAGGAGGAGGAGAAGGAGGGGGAGGACGAGGAGGAGGGGAAGGAGGCTGAGGAGGAGGAGGAGGAGGAGGAGGAGGAGGAGGAGGAGGAATAGGAGGGTGAGGAGGGTGGCAGGCGGAGCTTCCGATCGCGACGACTCTGGGCGCCCCGAGTGGCGCGCTCCACTGTGGTGGCTTCACCTTCGAGGGTATCGAGAAGGTGACATCTCCTCTTCGGCGGAAGCTGGCAGGAGGAAAAACGTGTCCCCAAGAGATGATTATTCGCCCCAACGGGACTGCAACATTGCTTCGGCCCTGACGGATACGCTGCGGGGCGCGTGCTTGCGCGCAGTCGATTTTTGCTGAGGTTCTTCAGAATTGGTCTGAAGTCTTCAGACAGCAGAGGTATTTGAAATATTCTGGTGAATTCTGAAAGTCCTGACGAATTCTGGAAAGTCTCCATGCAACCCACCAGACATCGAACCACGAGAAGATTCTGTTGACGGCTTGCGGGAAGAACCAGGTTGGGCCAGGGCAGGAGGGGTCGGAGGATCGCGCCACATCGCCGACGCATCGGCGCTGTGGCGCGATCCGGAGTCCGATGTTCTTTGTCCCGACGTCGCCGATGCATCGACGATGCATTGGCGGTGCGTTGTGGTCCTTCGGCCCTGGCTATTCCGGCCCCACTCAGGAGGCCTCCAGGTGATGTCCGCGCATCTTCTTTGGGTGGAGGACAAAAGGGGAAGTTTGCAGTGCCGTTTCGATCGATCTTCGAGGTCTGAATCTGCAAGAGGTGAATCACAGGACGGATTGGTTTGCGAGGCGCCAAAGCCCACGTGGATTCCATCCTGAGCCATCCACCCGAGGAACGTGCTCAGAATGTGTCGGCTTCCTGATTGGATCGGGACGGCGCCGCTTTCTTGAGTGGGGGCGGGCCTGGATCCCCACTGGAGTGGGGGGATGCTTCCCAGAGGTGGGGCGGGCCCGGATCTCCATCGGAGTGGGGCGGGGGGGGGGCGGCGCAGGTGGCCTGGTCAAGCGGCGCCGGCAGATGTCCCGCGTTTTTTTGTTTTTTGGTCAGGAGGGGAGAAAACACAGACACAGACACAGACACTGACACACTGACACGCTGACACACTGACACACGGACACACAGACACACAGACACACAGACACACAGACACACAGACACACAGACACACAGACACACAGACACACAGACACACACACACACACACACACGCACGCACGCATACACACACAAACACACACACAGACACACACACACACACACACACGCATACACAATTCATCGTCGATTGCCTCGAATAGATGGGAAAACATGGGAAGTGGGGGAGGAAGACGACAATCCAGAAAGTATGGACAAATATTGGGAATCCTGGGATTTCTGTGTGTGTGTGTTTATTTGTGTGTCCCTGGGCCCCTTCGTTTGGGGCGGTCTTGGATTGTGTTTTTTTGCGTTTTTTATGGGGGGGGGGGGGGAATTCTAGAAGTGGTGCTCGTGGAAATTCCCAGGAACCCTTTTGGGGGAGTCCTGGAGATGTTTTCGGGGGTGAGGGGGGGGTCGGTCCAGGATCTTCTCGGGCTTTGGGGGGACCTTGCTTTTGCATCGTTTTTGTTCTTGAGGTTATCTGCCGAGGAGGAGGAGGAGGAGGAGGAGGAGAAAGAGGAGGAGGTTAGCTGCCACGCTTCGGTCGGCGATCCAGCACTTCCGGTATACGCCTCGGCGATCACCGTTGTTGCGTTCCGATCCAGCACTGGTGCACGAGAGGCCGCTTCACGTCCAGGGTGAAGTCGATGTGAGCTCGATCTCCAAGGTTGGAGGCGAGGTCGCTAGAGGCTTGGAACCCGAAATAGAGGTCGGAGGCCTCTGGAGAAGTCAGGCGGAGATTCGCAAAGGCGCCCAAGAAGTGTGGCGAGTGGGGTGCCCCAGACGTTCACACAGGTGCTCTCTGGTATCGAGGACGGCGGGTGACCATAGGACGCTCCACTCATAGAGCCTGCGGCAAGGCCTCACGGACACCTTTTTTTCTGGGACATGTGCACCAGGCGCTCCTTGTGTTAGGATGCTCCAACCTAATCTAGCCTTGACCGCCAGAAAGAATTTCGAGCACCAAGAAGGTACCGAAGCTGGAGGGTTTTCACGTGTCGGGCCATGGGAGGCGACACTCGTTCGACACCTGTTCGCTATTTTTCTGGGTGCTCGAAATTACTTCTGGGATATGGTCCTCAAGTACGATGGGAGCGACATAATCACTGTGAAGGTTGCCAGGTTCCCACGTGCTCGTCCTGATGTTGGTCCGCGGCGCATCCTGAAGCCCTGGCGCCGCACCCAGGGAAGCTCCTCCTCCTCCTCCTCCTCCTCCTCCTCCTCCTCCTCCTCCTCCTCCTCCTCCTCCTCCTCCTCCTCTCCCTCCCCCTCCCCCTCCCCCCTCCTCCTCCTCCTTCTCCTCCTCCTCTTTTCCTCCTCCTCCTCCTCCTCTCCTCCTCCTCCTCCTCCTCCTCCTCCCTCCGATGGATGCCATGCTGATCCTCGGCTGCCCGCGCCCCCTCTCCCTCCGTCACTGACACATCGTCATGCAGCTGGTCCTGCTCCTACTATTCCTTCCCTTCGCTCCATCCCGAAGCCTGCCTCTCAACAATCAAGGGAGGAATGCCGGCTGGATCGCCGACCGAAGCGTGGCAGCTACCCTCCTCCTCTTTCTCCTCCTCTTTCTCCTCCTCCTCCTCGGCAGACAACCTCAAGAGCAAAAACGATGCAAAAGCAAGGGCCCCCCAAAGCCCGAGAAGATCCTGGACCGACCCCCCCCCCCCTCACCCCCGAAAACATCTCCAGGACTCCCCCAAAAGGGTTCCTGGGAACTTCCACGAGCACCACTCTCAGAATTTCCAGGACCACCAAGCCCCCCTCCGATAAAAACGTATTACACCAGAGACCATCCCCAATCAGTGGATGGTTTGAAATGGGATCGATCAAGAGATCGATAAGGAGATCGACCGGGAACCTGGGAACTCGGGAACCCGGAACCCACCGAAATTGGCCCGGAACCAATAACCAGGAACCCGGGAACCCGGAACCGGGAACCGGGGAACCTAATTGGCCTTCAAAATCGGTGGGACACTTTCGCCAAATCTTTCAATTTCTGCTAGGACCCCTTCAGTGCAAGCACTGATTGCTGATTTTAGGGAAAATGAAGGGAGGAAAAACCACACCGACCCGATGATTGGCGTTTATTAAACGGCCCTGGGCGTCTACTAAACAGCCCTGCCCTGTCCGATTCCTTCTTTGACAACGTCATGCAGCTGGTCCTGCTCCTACTATTCCTTCGCTCCATCACGAAGCCTGCCTCTCAACAATCAAGGGAGGACACATTACACCAGGGAAAACCCGAACCAGGGAACCCAGAACCCACCGAAATCGGCCCAGACTCATGCAATGACCTGGACCCCGGGAACCGCTGGAACCCAGCCGGTCACCAAAACCGGCGGGACACTTTCGCCAAATCTTTCAATTTCCGCTAGGACCCCTTCAGTGCAAGCACTGATTGGGGAAAGACCAACCCGATCCGATAACTGGCGTTCACTCAACGGTCCTGGGCGTCTACACAACAGCCCTGCCCTGTTCGATTCCTTGTTTGGATGCGTTCACTGAACGGCTTCGCTTGTCGGGGTGGTCATTCTGGGGGTGGATGTTTGTGCCCTCTCAGCGAGGTGCCCAGTCCGAGAGACGTCCGGGCGTCCGGCGTACCTCTCCGTCGCAGGGGCCAGGCCGCGGCCATGCCGCCACCCCCGCCTGGAGAAGAGCGACGTGGGGAGCGGAAGCGGGAGCGGAAGCGGGAGCGGCGGCGCGACAGTGTTGCGAGAAGGTAGGAGATGAGACGCGACGAGACGAGAAGAGAGGGGCAGAAAGAAAGATACGAAGGGAGAGACAGAGAGCGAGAGAGAGGAGAGAGAGAGAGAGAGAGAGAGAGAGAGAGAACGAGAGGGAGAAAGAGAGAGAGAGAGGGGTGGAGATGGGAAATGGAGAGGGAGAGGGAGAGAGAGAGAGAGAGAGAGGAGACGCGACGAGACGAAACGAGGCAATACAGAGAGAGAGAGAGAGAGAGAGAGAGAAAAAAAAAAAAAAAGAGAGAGAGAGAGGGTGGAAGGATGTGGCAGCAGGCGGCGGGCGGCCGGGAGGACAGCCGCGCCGACCCCCACCACGTCCTCGACGACGGCGTGACCGCGTGCGGCCTGGCGGAGCGCAGCGGGCACCCGCAGGCCTGGCGTTTGCTGCCAGAGGGCGGCAGGAGGAGGCGGAGGAGGAGGGGGGAGGGGAGGAGGAGAGGGAGGAGGAGGAGGAGGAGGAGGCATTGACGACGCTGACGTCGTTGACGACGTCGGTGACGCCGACGCCGACGCCGACGAGGACGCCGACGCCGGCGCCGACGAGGACGCCGACGACGGCGCCGGCGCCGACGCCGATCGCCCGCGTCGCGCCAACTCGAGGGCTGGCGCGATCGAGAGGGCCCGACCTCGCGCGGGCCCTCGGGGGCCTGTGCGGCACGGGGAGCAAGGGGGGGGGGAAGAGGTACCCATCGTGTTGCTTTCGCCTCGTTTTCTTTCCCTTTTTTGGGGGCCTCCCAGGAGGCCCTCATCGCCAGCGCCAGCCTCGCCTCGAGAGTCTGGTCAGAGCGCACCCCGGGAGAGGTCCGGGGAGCAGCGGCATCGGTACATGTTGGTGTCCCCATGGGAAGGCGGCGCGAGCTGGAGATGCCCACGGGCATGGTGGGGAACAGATTATGAATGATGAAAATGGCTTCAAGGTGTTTGGCGGCCAGTTGCGGGCCGCGCGGTTATGGATTTGGAAATGGTCCACGGTGGCTTTGGAAGTGATCGCGCGCGCGCCTTGTAATGGAGGATGACGATTAATAAATGACCGGGGGTCGTGTTCACGCGGCGGCGCCCGGGATGACGATTAGAAAAAACCGGCCGCGGGCTGGAAAACTATTTGTCTACCGTTCTCCTCCAGTCAGAAAATTATGCAGAAATAGCAGGAAACTATTTTTTGAATCGTTCTCTCCCATTTTTTTTATTAATCGTCATCCCGCAGTATGGTCTCGGGGCCGCCGTGGGATGGCTCGTTCCGGGGCCACCGTTCCGGGCAGAGAGGGTCGCCTCCGTGGGCGGCCGGGGGGGGGCCGTCCTGCTTCTGACTCAGGAGGGAAAGACACACACACACAGACACAATGAATCGTCGGCTCCCAGGAAAACAAGGGAAAATATGGGAAGTGGGGGGGAAGACGAAAACCCAGAGAATATTGGAAACATACAGGGGAATCCTGGGATTTGTGTGTGTATCTATTTGTGTGTCCCTGGGCTCCTTTCTTCTGGTCCTCGGTTGTCCCGTGGCGATCTCTTGCCAGTATCGCTTCTGCTAGGTTCATACGGCGGCCGATTGATCGAGAAGGGGAGGAGGGTGGAGCCATGGCGACCCATGGCGATCCATTGTTCTATCGTCGCTCCCATGGCGGCCGATCGAGAATAGGAGGTTGATAGACCTCCTACCCTGACACGTCGATTAGTGAATTGGCCGTTTTCGGTTCGCGAGAGGTCGTCGCGGCCGTTATTTTGCGGGTCCAGGTCCGTCGGTTTCGGTCCCAGGCCGTTTGCACTAAAGAGTGGTTTACTAAAGGGAGGTTTGTCCACCGCTGAGAGAAGGAGGAGGATGGAGGAGCCATTCTCCTTGTCGTCCTCGATTGTCCCACCCCTGGCTTCGGATATGGGCCGTACTCTGTGGGCGATTGCGGAGGTAGGGCGGGAAGTCCCGCTCCACTGTTCAAGCTCCCATGATGCCGATGTCCGACCTGCTGTCCTCGTTATTTCCGCCGTTTTTTTGCGGAGAGGCTCGCGCTACTTCTTCTGAGGCGCAAATTCCCGTCTTCTTTGTTCGCATGGTTTGGGGCTCATTTCTGGCACTTTTTGCAAGTCGGAACATCAACCAAACAGTGGATCCAAGTCAGGGAAGGTAGAGCCATCCTCGTCTCTTCCTCGAGTGTCCCATGGCGATGCTTTGTTCTCGTCGCTCCACTGCTGCAACACCTGGTCGATTGGTGAGATCGCGATGCGTTGCTGAGGGCGTTCGTCTTGAAGAAAAACAAGCTCGACACAGTAGTCCGTCGATCCTGGCAGCAACAGGCTTAGCAGTGATTCGGCCGTTCGAGCGATTCTTGAGCTGGCGGCGTATCGAACACGGGGCGGCGCGTTACGCTGGCGACGCTCGCATAGAGTTTGGTATCACTCACGGCGCATCGGAGGTGCTGTCACGTTTCGGAACCACCGACGCACGCAACGCGGCGACAATGCAGACACGGGGGTGATTGTTGGCATGAGGTTGAGGAGGCAAGCGAGACGAGGAGGACAAGTGGGAAAGGAGGCCCGACGTTGCCGACGACGAGGAGTTCGAGAAGCACGCGATCGCGTCGGCCTGCCCGGAGTATGCCATCAGTCCGTGCACACTTCTCCGACACCGTGGCTCCTCCTCCTCCTGCTCCTCCTCCTTCTCCTCCTCCTCCTCCTCCTGCTCCTCCTCCTCCTCCTCCTCCTCCTCCTCCTCCTCCTCCTCCTCACCGCCACACGATTAACGCCAATTAGAAACACATGCAGCAGAGAAATTGTGCAGCTTCGATGCGCAAGCAGCAGGTGCGTGGCAGGCGCACGGGGGGCTTCGCCGCGCCCCCCTGGTCGTCTTCTGTGCAATGCCGGTTTGGCGATCTTGGCACGGCTTCGAGACGATGGGGGCGCCTTTGATCGTTGATCCGTCTGTCGAGCATGCTGTGGCGACTTGTCCTTCCGCGGTCTATGTAGTCGCCCTCCCGTGGCACGCCCCGCCACCGTGGCAGCGAAACCTCGGCCGACCTCTGCGACACCGGCGATGCCGCGGTCGGCGCCTCGGGGGAACCACGCGCCGACGTCGGCCAGGCTCCGGGCCCCACGCCGCCGTGCTTGCCGCCCTCGCCTCTGCCGGCAGCGCTGACGTCGACATGCCCCCGCGCGCACGTGTGCAGCGATAGGTTCGCCGAGCCCTCCCGACGTGGCTCGCGCGGCCAGGGAGGAGGGAGGAGGAGGAGGAGGAGGAGGAGGAGGAGGAGGAGGAGGAGGAGGAGGAGGAGGAGGAGGAGGAGGAGGAGGCGGAGGCGGAGGCAGGAGGAGGAGTAGGAGGGAGGAGGAGGAGGAGGAGGCGGGAGGAGGGAGGAGGGAGGAGGGACCCCCCGCGAGCCTCCCGGGGGCGCTGCTGGGCCGAGTTGGGCGCGGCGGGTCTGCCAGGCTCTCCCAGAGAGGCTCCGGAGGGTCCGTGGAGATCCTCGTGGGGCGGGTAGGGGGCGTGATGGGCCACGAGGGTTTGAGGCTGAGGTTTTTGTCGGGCGACGAAATCTATACATAGCCACTGCTCCCTGGCCAGGCCCACTCTGAACCCAGGAGCTGTGTATACGCCCTCCTGGCCCAGCCAGGAGGGTGTGGCGTATACACTGCTGCTGGGTTCACGGTGTGCCTGGCCAGGGAGCAGTGGATATGTATAGATTCGGTCGCCCTATTTTTGGGTGAGGGGTGAGGATGACGGTGTGGGGTCCAGAGATGTGGAGCGCGCAAGAGGCTCAGAGGATGGAGGAGGACGGGGGTGGCAGAGGAGCGGAGGGTGGCAGAATTAGCGATGTGTGCGTGCTCCTGTCCTGATGGGTCGGGTGAGTATTTGCACATGCGTGGCGCGAGACATCGGTGAGGCCTGCCGCTGAGCAGGGGCTGACATGAAGAGTAGACAGTGGAACAAGAGACTGTACGGGAAGGGCCGTCAGGTAGCTTCATTGCTGGCGTCCTACGAGGTGCGGTCTTGAGGCTGCATAACTGCTGTGGCGGTTGCTTGGGCGTCACCGCGGCGCAGTTTGCTTGTTTACCCCGCCATCTGTATTGACATGTGGGACTGAGCGCAGCATCAGGCAACAAAAAACCGCAGAGGCCAGCACATGGTTCTCACTCGATGT